ATTAATATTTCCCAAGGCTCATCCCTGAATATTACCTGTTTGCTTCTATGTTTGCACTAATTTGTTTTAATCACAAGGTCATCTGATTTTTTTCAGTTTGGAGTAAATTCACTTGTATTGCTGTATAAAACATTCAAATCTACTACACTGGATAGAATGTAGTTCTTTAACTACCCAACAGTAGAAGTTCCCAGGTAGGCATCTGAAACAGTGAGTGGTGCAAACTTTCCAGCTAGGATCCCATGCTGAACTTTCTCCACCAAGGCTGTTTTGTGTTGTGAAAACAGTAGAACAGGCAGCAGTGAGGCTGGTGCCAGTTGCAAGATATTTGGAACCTGCAAAGATTGAGATTGTTCCAGTTTGCTTATATTTGCCATTCCAGTTTTTAAAAGGGCCCAAACTTACATAAAGGACATAGTTTTCAGAGCTTTTCTTAACAGTGGGAGTGAGACCAGTAAGACTTGGGATTCTCTGCCTTAGGAGGTCAGGCATGCACTAACACAGGGTTGTTTTCAGTGAGTGTCTGCTAAAGAAATCCTTGTTCTGAGAAGACTTTCTTGCTAACCAGCAACAGTTATTTTACTTTTAAGGTTTTTGATGTATTGTTTTTGTTCTTTTGTGAATTGAAACTTTCTGCTGTTCACCACTCTGGTATCTACTTGGATGTGGAGTGTTGTACAAATACAGTAAACAAAAAAATAAAAACCAACCAAAACTAAACTATGGTTTGTCACCTACTTGGGATTTGTTTTCTGAATTCCTGAAAGGTTTGTTTCCTTCTCTTTCATTTGTTTTTGTATTCCAAATGATTTTGCAGTGCTAAAGTTTTGGAATGTAGTATGGCTGGCTTTTCTATTTTAACTATTCATGCCAGCTGAAACACATCATAGAAGCCCATGGTTTATTTATTTATTTATTTATTAAAACATTTTTATGCCGCCCCATTCGCCGAAGCCTCGGGGCGGCTTACAACATGGTTTTGGGTACACCTGTAAAAACAATTCATAGTTGAAACCTCCCAGAATTAACAACATAAAAAACTATATATTCTCTCTGAGTTGTTTATGATTAATGAATAGTGGTTTATTTGTCTAGCTGGGTTCAGCAACCCAGCATTCAACAAACCATGGGTTAACTAGAGCATGGGTTAGTATCATGAGAGAAACAGATCATGGGTCAAACAACACAATAAAGAAGGTTTGAGTATCAGTTGTTGTATTGTGGGTTGCTGAAATGAGGGTTTATCATGTTGTCTGAATCCATCCATGCTAACAAACCATATCTTTTTATCCATGAACAAACTATGGTTCATCCTCCCTCCCCAATATCATGGCTTCTCTTTATGGGTCATTTATGGTTAACCATAGCTTGTTGGCACAGCATAGTAACCCACAGTTCAGTATCGGTCCACAGTTGACCCATACTTTGCCCTGAGTGTGTGTTTCAGTGTCGTTTGAACCTATAGGTCATGTTTGCATCTTACACTGAGTTACTCTCCTAATGAGCTACACAATGTACATAGTGCATGGTGCAACCCATGAGGCACCTGAAAGACAATCAGGCTTGCTTTGGTTTGTTCTTTCCCTCCTTTCCATTCAGTCTCCAACCAGTGTCCTAGTGTACTTTTCAAGAGGACCTGTCTTGTCTTCCTCTCCCTGTTCCAATTGCTAGCAGTGTTTGTTCACAACTGGCTTCCCCTTCCCCTTCCCTCCTTTCTTTTATTTGGAACATAAACCTTCCTTCCTTCCAAAACATTTTCAGACCCTGAAAATTATGCCATTGTGTTTGTATTTTACATCATTATTTTTGAAGACCTGTTACCAGTGCATTTTTATGGATGTCCCAGAGGTGGAGTCCTGTCTTTTCCACAGTGTGTTACCTGAACCCTATCATTTTATCCCTGTGGGACCCCTCTCTCTTCCCCCAGCCAAAATAGACTAAGTTACCTAACAGAAGAAGTTTCTTCTTTCTTCCTTAAGCACTGCTCTTTGGTGCACTTTCTTCCTTAAGCATTGCTCTTTCCTTCAGTGATGTTAACTGGGAAAGTTTGTGATGTACTCAGATATTACAATGACATATATGGCTAACTGATTGACATGATCATAAATACATCACAGAGATGTGACATGCACATGCACACACACCAGTATGATTACAAGACTATATTATTATTATTTAAAAATTATATGCCGTTTGATTAGCATAATGCTCTCAAAACAGTTTACAAAGTTAGTAAATTCCTGTGAGGATAACAAGCAGATGGAATGGCTGCAGAGAATTCAAGCACTGAGCATTTTGGGCTGCTGTTTGTACATTTCATTCCTGGGTGGCTTATAGGGCCCTCCAGCATGCTGATGCCTACTGCTGGTCCCCCTAAAAGTAGTTTTTGAAAGAAAATTTGGGCCTTTGAGCAGCACCAGATGGCTGGATCTATACCTCCCCCTTTAGTTTCCCTAATATTGATTAGGGGCATGGTATAAAATTTCAAAGAGTGGCTAGTCACAAGTGCCCAGCACATAGGAAGAATGATACAAACAAAAACCGGGGGGGGGGGGGGACCTGTGCTTTATTCAACCACTGCCCAAAAACCTTGTAGGGTAACAGATCTTGGGTTGACTGTGGGTTAAATAAACCATAGTCACTGAAAGAAGTATAGAGGCTGCTGTAGAAGTTCTGAGAAGGAATGTACATAGCAGAAAAGCCTATGGTTCATGTTTAAATGTGAATAGGATACAGTTCTTTATGAGTCTCTAAATTACCTGAACCTTGAATCTTCACTGTGACATTCTTCACCTAACTTGAGGAGAGAATCACTGTTAAGTGAACTGATGAGCAACAAGCCCTATCCTTATGATCTGTAGAGCTGTTTCATTATCTTTGTGCTGTCCCTTAATGAGCACTACAGGTTTAGATGAGTTTACCTTTGACAGCCCACAGGGGGAAGATGTGATAAAACTCTTTGTAATGACTGTTTTATTTTGCACCATTATTCTGTTGCTTTCCTATTCATGTCCTGCTGGGTTTTCATTTTTATATGATGCAGATGATACTTGTATAGCATGTGAGAAGACTGCCTTGTGCACCAACAGTAGCTTATGTTTAGACTTCTTAAGGATCATGGAGTTAAACTGGATTTGATCTGTGTGTTGGGAGAATATTCATGGCATCAGAGGATCCATAAAAGATGGCACACCAGTTTGAAATAAATCTCTGAATCAGGAATGTTAGGAGATGGTTTAATGTTGGTCATTTCTGCTGGCTCAGAACCAGCTGGTAGGCAATAACTTTTTTGAATCTTTGTAGATCACTTTGGTAAAATAATATTGGAATATTCCAATCCAAGCATTAAGCTTTATGGTATATTCCCCACCATTTAAGACTTTCAGTGTTCCTCATTTTGTCTCTTTAAGGCATCAGTGTTAAATATTACAGTACCCTGTACCATATGATAGCATTATACAAGTACCTCAAAGGTTGAGTCAGAGAGGAAGGATAAGATCTTTCTCGTTCATTCCAAAGTGCAGTACTTGGAATAATGGACTTAAGTTAAAAGAAACCAGATTTCGACTATACATCTGGAAGAATTTCCTCACTGTCAGAACATTATGGCAATGGAACCTGTTGCAGTAGTAGTTGTGTACTCTGCCTCACTGGAGACTTTCAAAAAGGGTTTGGACAGTCATCTAAATGGGGTGGTGTAACTTAGTGTCCTGCAATAGCAGGGAGTTGGACCTGATGGCATTCTGGCTCTTCCATCCCTACTAGTCTATGATTCTATGATATTTTAGCCAAAAGTTGTCCACTTTTGGACAACTCCTGAGGAGGCTACATTTCAGTAACTGACAGGGCCAAAAGCAAAGTGGGAAGGGCAACGGCAAAAGCAGAAGGTCTGAAATACCAGTTCTTATTGCCAATAGCTGAGGTTTAGGTAAGGCATTTCAACCTTTTAGAATGGCGATGCAATTGTGCAAATGGGCATTCACCAAACAACAGTCAGCCAAGATGGGTGGTGGAGGACAGTAGAACTATCTGGTGATGTGAAGAAGGGAGCATAACTCTCTGGGGAGCCTTAGGGGATTGGTTCGGACTCCTAGTAAGCCAGATCTGGCCTCAGGCCTGAGATTTGACACTCGTGCTTTAAAATTAAAGTCAATGACATTTTCCCAGATCTATACTGAAGACATCATGCATTCATTATGACAGGTGATTCTATACTATTGCTGACCAAGCATTCTGTTTGAACTTTAGTTAGGGCTCTGTTGTATAGCAGTAGTTGAATTTCCCCATTTTGTTTTTTTTTTTTTCAGTTACTCATTTTCTCCAGTCTTATGATTTCTTCTGTTTCTTCATTAATTTTCAATTCTTGTTTTAAAAAAGGTCTGAATAGAAATCTATGCATATTTATGTACATTTCTTCCAATACAAGAACTTTTGTATTCAGTTCAGCATGACATATGCAATTTTTGCAAGCAAGTTTCTTTAATATTATCCATTTTTATACATTGTTTTCAACAATGTATCAATTTCCTGTACACATTTGATTGGAAAAATACATTGCAAAATTTGGACAGGCGCAAATGCTGAAAACCTATTGCCTTCTAGTTAATTCATGCATTTAGGAAATGAATTAGCAAGTCATTCCCCATCCCGTAGTAGTGCTATGATTCTGACTTATCTGTTCTGCTCATTAGAAAAAGCAATGAACCTAGAGCAGATGAAGAGTAACTGAAAACCAATGTGGTAGAATGGAATGACTGCCAGATTTAGGCTTCTAGGAACCTACCATACTTATATCCTGCAACAGGCTTCTTCCCTTGTTATGATTCTTGTTCATATGACCATATTGTAGTAAAGAAAGGAATTCTGCCGCCCTCCAAATCAGATGCAGGAGCTCTATATGTATATGAATGGCTTATTTAAATTTTAATAAGGAAATGATACTGTAAGATTGTTAAAGACTTCTTAACCAAGTTTCTCCTCTCTTTTTTTCTTTTAAATAGTTATATTGCAAACCAACGGAAGTTAGAAAGCATAAACGAAGGAGACGTTGGACAGTACATTGGGTTAAGAAATTTGTGAGTATACTGTTTAATTATGTACCTGTATTATATTGAACCATGTATACTTATTTATTTCCATGAAAGAGTTCGTGTATCAAGGTGGCTTCTCCATGACAATGAATGGAAAATTCTGCTCTTGTATATAGGAGACTTCCAGCTGCACACTGACACTCGCACAGTTAAAACAGATTAATGAATTTGGGGACAATAATGTTAAGAGCATTAGAAGAGCCCTGCTGGATTAAACCCAGGGTCCATCTAGCCCAGACCTGGGCATTGTACAGCCCGTGGGCCACATCCGGCCCGATGGCTGACCCTGACTGGCCCGCATGAGGCCACTGGCAAATTAAAAGTCAATGCAAATATATATCGTCATAATATAGATGCAAGCAATACAACTGCACTGCTTTTATTTTGAAGGATCTGCTAAATTGAATTGAATTTATTTCTTTTCATGTAATGTTAATGTTAATGTTTTTGTGAATATTCATTAAATAGTGTTGTTCTGTGCCCCACATTTTCATTGTATCATTGTAATGTTTCATTTACTGTTTTTATAGAGATATATATTGAGCAGAACTGTAAGTGTATTGGTCCGGCCCTTAACAGCTGTCAAAGTTTCTCATGTGGCCCCATAGGAAAATTAATTGCCCACCCCTGATCTAGCCCAACTTTCAGTTGAGGCAGTGGCCAACTGGCTGTCCACAAGAATCCTTAAACAGGATGGGTTTACAGGAGCATCCTCCAACCCACATTCCCCAGCAGCTGTTAGACATTGACACACTGCCTCTGATACCACTGCCTCTGATCGCCCAGTGATCAGCTCTAGTAGCCATTGGTAGCCATAATCCAATAGTTACTGTATAATTATACATTCAGAGTTTTGTGGTTCTTGAATCAAAACCCTATGAATTACACCAGCATTAAAAATGGATGACTGACTGAAGACTAATAAAGCATTTGAAAACTCTAACTTGCACTTATTTATATTTGCAGAACTGTGGTGGATTCAGGTTTGAAGTTTGTATCACGCCAGGCTTTCCTGAAGAATACTAATCTGCAGTATGTGTAAGTGAAATCTACTTTGTGGCTTCAGAACATTAAAAACATTTTTAAAAAACATACTTCATTAGCTTCTTTGTTACCCATATAGGGAAATGTGAAGAGGTGCTACTTAACAAAAACAGGTGGGAACTGAAACAAGATGTTTCAGTGTATTCCTAGTGCTACAAGGTCATGACTCCCAACAACCTGAAATATGAACCTTGCGGTACAGTGTGTGGCTCACAGGTGTGTATAGGATTGTGTGTAAGGCAACATTTCCGGAGAAGGAATAGTCATTCTCCTGAAAACTCTCCCTGCTGTGCTACAGCTTTCTGCTTTAGAACTGCCTGAACATGTTTATCACCAAGTAGTGGAATGGGAGTGGGTATCTGATAAATCCTTTCTCTTCACCTTTCTGTATTGTGTGGGCATTAACATTTTTAGCCTAATGGTTATCAGTGATATCTGGTCATGATAACTAAACGTTTCCTCCAGAATCAGAGTACTTTTCAATATCACTTGCTGAAGAACGTGAGCATGAGAGTGCTGTTGCACTCAAGACCTGTTTGTGGGTTTCCCATGGATGGCTGATAGGACATCTAATTTTCCACTGTGGGCATACAGTGATGGACTAGAATATTCTGATGTAGAATTTTCTACATGTTTGTAGATCCGCACAGTGTATACAACGTGCATTTTTGTCTGGGTGGCATTGTTTTACAATCAGATTGATGGCAGTGCAATGTCCAGTCTGGTATTGTAGATGCAGAGGGAATGGTGGAAATCATAGCATACTAACAGAATTTGGGTAAACTTGTGGTTCTTTAGCAGTTGTGGGAATAAACTTTTAGTCCCTTTGCAGGCATCCATTCTGCCTGTTGGGTGAGCCACTTGGCCCCAGACTTGGAAGTGGACCCAAACCTGCCTTGTTCTCTTGGCTGTATACCAATTTAAAGGCACCTGGTATAAAGGCACCTACAGCACACCTCCCGATAGGAGAGGCAGGTTGTTCGCAGAGATAAATCATTTCCCTAATTGTGGGCCGCACACTCCAAGAACAGCAGGCCTCTGGACTCGCTAATCATAATAACATGCTTATGAGTGGCCCACCAATACCTGTTTTCCTGAAATTCCTTTCCAATAGTTCAATCTGTTTAAATGATTCCCTTCTAAGTAGTGCACACCAGTACAGAGTAGGCCAAAAATCCTGTCCCTGATGCCACTCTGTGTTCAGGTAAAAATTCAAATGTAGCCCTCCTAAGGGAGGAACTAGCTAAACCAGTACTGGAAGGAAGGGTAGGTAAGAACCAGGAAAGGAAGAGGCCAAGGTGGGAGGTGGAGCAGGCATTTACAGTGCCACTTTGCTCCCCTCATGCTGAGAGAACGTGGAAGCAAACTTCCACTGGGGCACCATTCCCGCCTCCTTTTCCATCCTCAAAGGCCATCCAGCTGCCCCAGGCAGGAAATGAGCTCCATTGTCAGATATGGCTAAGGCTAGAAAGCTTAAAGCAGAGAATTTAGACAGCCAGGGTGTCGTGGTTAAGAGTGTGGGGCTGGGAGTCAAGTGATCTGGAAATTAGTCACAGACTTTCAGGAATAGTTGTGCAAATGAGATTGAGAGGAGGAGAATAATGTACGATGCCTTGAGTTCCTTGAAAGGAAAAGCATAGGATATAAGTAAAATCAATATAAGTAAAATAAATTGCATTGCTTTTCAAACTTTTTAAAATGCTTATACATATAAACTTCGGGTATGTGTAAGAGAAGCCATAGCACCTGATTCAGCTGTAGTTGTGCCTTCATGTGTGATCATTTGCACAATAATGTTGATAGCCACAAATGCATATTCAAAAACTTGCATGTGGAAAGCAGTATAATTCAAGGTGTTGGTTATCACCTATAAAGCCCTCAATGGCTTGGGACCTGGTTATCTAAAGGAGCGCTTGCATGCATATATGCCCTCCCGTCCCCTGAGATCAGCGGCAGAGGCCCTCCTCCGGGAACCTTCCGTGAAAGTTATTAGGAGGGTGAGTACCTGGAGGAAGACTTTCTCTGCGGTGGCACCCCACCTATGGAATGCGCTCCCCAGAGAGGTCCACCTGGCACCATTGTTATTTGTTTTTCGGCACCAGGCCAAGACCTTTTTATTTAAAACTTATTTTAATTGTTAATTGACTATTTATTGGGTTTTATATTGTGCCGAAATGTCTCCAAATTTTTAAGGTCAATTGTGTGAATTGTATCTGTTTTGTAAGCCGCCCCGAGGCTTAGAAATGTTATAAATAAGTAAGTAAGTAAGTAAGAACAGATGACAATTGCACTCCAGCACACACAAGAAAGCCATGGTAATATAGCAGTTAGGGTGTTGAACTAAGACTGGAGAAAGTCAGGTATTGACCTCCACTTTGCTATGAGGTTCAGTGGGTGAATTTGGCTAGTCATGGACTCTTAACCTAAGATATCTCACAGTGTTGTGAGGATACAATAGAGAGGAAGAGGATCATCTACCTAACTTTGGCTTCTTGGAGGAAAAAGGAGATATCTGTGCAACAACAACAACAGTCAGTGCACATTCTGATGTACATTTGGGCATGTATCTGATACATGGTTCTGATGCAACATATGGTGTGACTATTCATTGAACTGCAGCAATATATTATGCTGATATGAGTTCCCTGGCAACCTTTTTGCACCCACATAAGAATGTGAATATGACATCCCAGGTTTTTATACAAAGTGGCAAATCAGTTGACCGGGCAAGTTGTGCCATTGTATCATATAAATCCTGTTGTGGCATTGACCTGAACATTTGAGGGATTAAACTAGGTAGGGGATTGGGGTTGCCAACTGTGTCCCTGTGCATGCCAGGTCACTTCATGTCTGTACTGGTCCTTGCCATATTTAGTGACAAAGTCTGATGCTAACATAGATGAGTATGTCTTCAGACCTTACTGCTTAAGATGGGGAGTTTGGGAGCATATGAAGTAGGGTATTTTCACCTTACACAGTTTAAACCCAGGTGTATTCAAGTGAATGGCTTACTCCTTAGAATCCCATTAATTATTGTGCATATTAAGCTAAGGAAAATACTGCATGTATCGAGTCTCTTTGTTGTCAAGAAATCCGACTTTCACTGGAAGCAGTATTTGTTTTTTCCCCAGTGAAGTCTACATCATCATAGCGGCAACACGTATTTATATATTCCCTGTTTCTACTCTTATAATAATTTGTGCACAGTTAGGACTTGGAATCTTGTTTTGTTTTGTAGACATTTTAATGGAGATTGATTGAACTGCATGAACTTTCCAACTAAGAAAAGTATTTTGGCTTTAATTGGCTCACAGGAGGAGCCTTTCAATTCCATTTAAAATCTTTCTTTAAAATAAACTGATTTCCTAAAGTGTAAATCATGTAAAATCGTTAACAATGGAACTGAGTACTTAACAGCAGCTGCAATAATGCTAAAGAACTTTAAATACATATTTATCTAAAATATATTTGTCAGTCACTTTTTTATTTTTGCTCTTAGTTGACATTTGTTGTAACCAAAATGCTTTATCTTAGCTGATGCATGGTTATCAGAATCAGTAACAGTGTAAATGAAGCAAAGTAAACATTTCAGTAAATATTGCTTAAATGAAGCAAGCAACATCAAGGGAGTACTTCTGCCAGCAGGGGGAAAACTGAATCCAACCCATTAAACACTTTTCACAAAACTTCAGTGCATGAAGGTAATACACATTCAGAACACATGCATTTTTTCTGTCAAAAAAAGCTGAAATGGGAGTGTTTTGGTGTACATTTCTGTTTTTAAATAAAATGTCCCAAATAGGGTAACTAGAAGAAACTCTGTTGATTACTTCTTGCCCCCTCCCCCCATAAAAAGTTTTGAGGTGTGCCTCATGCATCACTTCATAAGAATATGGTAGGGGAAATTCTGATAAACTCTAAAGTGGCCGATAGAGTTAGGTTGAGTGTCAGTGAGGGTTGCAGAAAGGCTAAAGATAGTGGCATGTGAGGCAATGGATGAAAATGGGTATGAGTGACTGGAGCATTTCATAGCCTCATCCATCCAGTTCAGCAGACTACTGATTGCCCCTTTTCACACAGAATGCTGAACTATATAGGTAATGACCTATAAAGCCCTAAACGGCTTGGGTCCTGGTTACCTGAAGGAGCGCTTACATCCATATTTGCCCAGTCGCCCCCTGAGATCGGCGGGAGAGGCCCTTCTCCGGGAGCCCTCCATGAGAGAAATTAGGAGGGTGGCTACTCGGAGAAGGGCTTTCTCAGCGGTGGCGCCTAAGTTATGGAATGCGCTCCCCAGAGAGGTCTGCCTGGCGCCTTCGTTATTTGTTTTTCGGCGCCAGGCTAAGACCTTTTTATTTAAGCAACATTTTAAATGCTAAATACAATTGAATTTTATCTGGCCAGGGCGGCTTATTTTATAATGTGTGTTTTAATTAAGATTATTTTATATGGATATTTTAACTTATTGTTTTACCTATGTTGTAAGCCGCCCCGAGGCTTCGGCGAATGGGGCGGCATAAAAATGTTTTAATAAATAAATAAAATAAATATATGAGCATGAGTCTCTGCTTGCATGCTCCTCTTTCTTCTTTTGCCACAACCGCTAAGAGTAGTTTTTGCTTCTGTTTTCAACTGACCATCCTCACGCAATGACCTAGTTCTCACATAACAATAACCTAAGTATGAGTGGAGTCTGAGTTCTTGTTGGATCATGGGTTGTTACATGTAAGCTCTGTACTATGGGTTAACTCTGCATTGTTAGCCAAGAACAGTCAAGAGTCCATAACCCAACAACCATGAAAACCCATGAAAATGCATCTCCTGATCTGGTTGTTTGGGTTTTGTGCTGTGTCAGATGAACCCAACCATTGTGGGTTATCTGAGGGTAAACAACTGTTGAGTAGTAACTCATGATGGCTGTGTGCTTACAGCATGGTGCAGCTCCACAGCTGGGGCACATATTCACACTGATGGCTATATATGCCTGGCATGTTCTGTGGCTCATTGTAGGCGACCTTGCTGTGCCGTATGAATTACCGACTGAGTAAGCAGTTGAAAATGGATGTAAAAACTTTTGTTGACACCTATGGCAGAAAGCAGAGGAAGAACATGTGATAGTTTAGCATTGTATGTAAACCAGGCCAGAATATTGTTGGGTCAATCCCAAGATTTTTTACTTCTCTGTGTAAATGCAAATACTTTCCCTTTTGTCTTATGCATATGGAATAATACAGCAGTAGCACAGTAACACTGAACTGTGATTTTATTTTATGATGTTCATGTTTAATGGCTTTCTTTCTGTGGTGTGCTTAACTGAAAGTCCTACTTAGAATTTAACTGGAATTTGCAGTTAATTTGCAGCAGTGGCAAATGGGGGAAGCTCCCATGCTTATTCTTAGCCCTAGATAAGGAGTTATGGTTTCAAGAAAGGGGATTTTGAACCATACAGAGAAGGAAGTCGCCACAGGAACCATTGCAGCAGGTGCCAGTCTCCCTTGGCTCTGAGCTCTTCTGTGGCATGGAGTGCAACAACCTACTTGATAGGTACATACTGTCATGGGGTGGGGGTGAGGAGAAAGGGCACAGACGACCATGTGAACATAAACTAGAACAAGACTGCCTTCGATGTTCAGTTCAGTTGAAGGCATTAAAGTTCACTACAGTATGAAGCAGTAAATGCTTAATTGATGTGAAAGGCCTAATGACTGTATTTTGCCATTTTTCCTGTGATCTTTCATGTGGACACACACTGCACATGCAGTTAGAAAAGGATATCTAAAGGGCTTATGATGAAGGTATTTGGCAGGAAGTCAGGGTTTAGGTAGGTACAGACTTTGATTAATGATCAAAGAAGATATGGTAAATATGTATTTTGCTTATGAATAAATTGAGCATGTAGTTAACATCTGAGAACATCTCTGGAGTAAAACTTAATCCAACATATTTCCATTGCAGGCATAGACCTGTTCTAAAGTGCACATTGTGTTTAGTATTTACCTTTACATTGAGTCTAATAGTAAGTTAAAGTACAAACTCTATAGTTTTGTAGATCATCAACTATATTATCCAGCAAAAGTCTGAGAGTGAGTTACTTGACAGGACCCAGATTGTAAGGTTTTTTAAAAAAAAATCAGTTATATTAATAGTAATAATGATATATTCTTTATTTACAGTAACTTCTCCAGAAATAAACTTTCAAGTTTGTCCCGGAAGTCATTCCGTCACCTCAATTTGACTGATCTGTAAGTATTAGCATTCTTAAGGGTTGTAGTTGATTATTTCAGGAACATTAGCATTATTTCAGAATCTAAAATATAGTGAGAGAAAATTCTTCGTTCAAGATTTTTATAACAAAAAGAGTTTGTTTTTATAAAAGGTACATTTTGCTTGATAGCAGTACATATTTTTTTAAAGGGACTAGTACTCACAAGGGAACATACAAATAAGAGTTTCATGTGACAGCAACTCTAGATGTTGAGCCATTTTGTAAACCACCCAGAGAACATCAGCTTTGGGCAGTATAGAAATGCAATAATAATAATAATAATAATAATAATAATAATAATAATAATAATAATAATTGCAATGCCCTATGATTAATCCTCCACAGAATGTCTTGTCTCTGCTCTTGCAACAGTTATCTGGATGACTTTTAAAAATGCACTTAATTTGATTTTCTGCTGCTTCTCAGATAAACTTGTCTGAAACAGTATTATTTATAAATTTATTTATTTAATGTATATAGCTAAAGCTGCCTAGATGTTTAACAATACATAACCCCCCTTAAAAATACTGGTACTACAAAACATCATAAAATTCAATGCAGAATTTAAAAGCACAATTCAATAAAGTAGAGGACTGAAGATGTATTAAAGCCATTAAATGCCATGAAATGTCTCCATTTAGAAGGCAGTCTTAACAGAGTTAGCACTAGGTGAGCCTTGATGGGTGGTACTAGCTGGCCTTTACAGGTTAAAATCAGTAAGTTGAATTGAGCTCAGAAGCATACAGGCAGCCAATGCAAGCAAGCCAGCATTACTGTTATATATTTGGACCTTCTGGTCCCAGTTATTAATTCTACTGTTGTATTTTGCACAAGCTGCAGCTTCTGAACAGAACTGAAGGAGAGCTATAGCTAAAGAACAGTGCAGTACTCTAACCTGGAGGTTACCAGAGAATAGATTACGAAAACTAGGCTATCCGTTTCTTGATAGGGTTGTAGCTGGGCCTTAGGCCAAAGCTGGCAGAAGGCAGTCAATGTCATTTAAGCTGCCTGAGCTTCAAACTGCAAAGATGGCTCAAGGAGGACCCTCAAGCTATGAACTTGCTCCTTTAAAAGAATTGTAACCTGATCCATAACAGATTAAACATCCACCTTCTGGTTAGAGGAACCACCCATTAACAGCATCTCAGTCTTTTCTGGATTGAGCTTCAGTTTGTCAGCCTTCATCTAGTCCATTGTCCCGGCTGGCAATGAAATGCTGGAGATGTGTCCTAAACCATGGTTTAGCATGACATGTGAACACACATAATATATGAAAAATAAACACCATCTATCAAAGAAAAGGAAATAATTTTTAGTTTTTTAATGGTTGGAATAAATTAACATATCTAACATAGTTTAAGAAAAAGCATCCATTTGATTATTTTTGGTAATCTGGTAGTCACTGAGTAGCTGTATTGCAAAGTTTGTTATCTGATTCCCTCCCTCCCTGCATTTGATACAGTATGGTGGCATCTTTTAGCATATGCACCCTTTTCTTGAAAACAAACTGTTTCTTATTAAATTTTCTGTTCCTAATATTTTTGCTAATTCAATTTTGTATAATAAATAGGTACTGTTCATATAAATGTGATACTTTTTGTCAGCCCTGTTAGTTTAAATTATTGACATAAAATGCCTAATGATAGCATTTTACCATTTTTGTTTTTATCTTTCATATAAGTGCACTTGCACATCTCTTATTTTAATGCTAACCGAAAGTGCAAGACCCATTTTGCTCATGGCTAAATTGAGTATATGATCCAAATTATATAAATTGAGTTGATACTACAATTTGTATCTGTAGGAAGAAAATAATAACCAAATCCAGTTCTTCTGTATAGTAAATGTGTAACATACAATTACTCTTACAAATAGAAAGAATCCAATCTACAGTACTGTCCTTGGACTTTTCTGTAATTGATTTGTTTTAGATGTCATGATAGGCATGAGTTGATAGAAGTTTTAAAAGGTCATTGCTTTATAGAACTCTTAAGAGATTAAATTTGTTGATTATAAGATATTTGGATAGTATAACAAGACAATCTAATAAAATAAAGATTTGAAAGAGAATGAAACTATTGGACAAGTAAATATGAAGGACATATTGAAACCATATCATTAAGCTATAGCAATAATCAAACAAAAATATTACTGAGAAGAAAGAAGGGAGGAACAATGAGCTACATATGTATGTGCATGGGATAAGAGCTTGGTTGTTAAGATGTGGTAATTCAATATGTATGGCTGGTGCTGTTCACTCTGTAGCTGATACGTAAATAGATTAGCCTATTGTAGGCAGAGAAAACATTTCTTACAGATAACCCATTAAACCTGCCTGGTTTAAAATCTGATGAGCATGTGCCTTGGAGATAGAAAGGCTTTAAAGTTTAAAAAAAGTTGCCATACTGGTGCATTCTAGTTAACATGCACATAAAATAAATTCAAATGAAAAGTTCACTTGAGATGGAAAGGTGCAACAGGTCCCTTATCATTGTTTTCATCTTTGTGTTGTCCTAATTTCATGGTAGGTATAAACGTGAACACCATTTGGAGATGCACTTGGGACAATTTCATTCATCAGACTCTCCTGCCTATTAAATTGCCCTCCCACTCCAGTCTTGAAGCTGCACAGCCCCCCTGTGCTACTGTTTCTACAGAACAAAAATTTACACTGCAATTATATTTGCATAATTAATTGCACATCTGGTGTAGCATTTAAGCTGCAAGAATTCAGTATTCTGTGGATGGTATGGAGAAGAAGAACAAAGGAAAGTCCAACTTTTTCTTTTTTCCAGAAAAGGGACAGCTGAGTTGGAATGGGAGGCAACGTGGTACAGTAGTATATTTACTGCAAGTTCCACCTTCTCCCTCTTTCCTGTCTCCCACACAGCACTGGAAGGAATCCACTGTTGACACAAACTGCAAAGGCTCACTGTGGGAGTGGGTGCTTAACTCTTTCAATCTGTTAGCAAGAATTTGTCAAACCTGTAGAACTGTCTGTTTGATCTGAATATTTATTTTGGCTTGATTCCAGTCAAAGCTTTTTGGAGTCTGAAGTGCTGTGAGTTTTCTGTAGAGATTGTTGGCAAAAGAATTCTGAAGATCATGATCAAATCAAATATAACTCCTATAGATTATTTTAATTAGTGCTGTTTTGTTTCCCCTTTTAATGAAATGTCTTAGGGGGATGAAGTGGCACACCAATAAATTATCATCATGAAGCATAGGTATGCATTTATGAGCAAAGCTGAGATAATAGCTTACCTTTCTGTATTATAGTTGATTCTAGCATAGTTACATTTATATTGAATTGTGGTTTTCATGAGTGTTTTAATAACTTAAATAGTGCTGCAAATGTTTCCTTCTAATTTCTCAGTGTGCACTTAAATACTTAGGCTATTCCACACAGGTTTTGTTTTGTCATTTGTAGCACTGGTAATGTTTGACATTAGGTAAAATCTCTTTGTCTTAGTTTTGATAGGTTTATATTTAATTTCCTTTGCAAATGATAGCATCTCTTCCTTCAAACATATTTCTGTGAAGTTTGACCATAAGGGGGAGCTAACTTTATCCCAGAAGATATAAAAGATCTAGAAATCCATTCTGGGTGAAAATATAATCGGATACTATTTTCATTGTTAGTCCTGGATAATTTTACTGATGCGAATTGGGTTACATAAGATCCTGATCCCATGCTTAGTTCATGTCAGACTGATGACAAAAGCATGGCTAAAATCTATGGAATGGCTTCCATTTCCTTTAGTTCCAGCCCTGCAACACTAAATGAATCTGTTAGATGAATAGATTAAAAATATTGGGCTGCATCCAGTCCTGCTTAAAAGTATGCATTGACATGAAAGGACTCGTTAGTTACAATTTATTTTCCATTCTGCTGTAAGTAGGACTACCATTGGCTTTAGTCTCTTGATTGATTAAAAAGGATCTGCTGCTAAATCAGGCAATAGAATTTTAGAAAATGCTTTACAAAGGAATGTACAAAAATTATGAGTAGGAAATACCATCTTGAGAGGTGATCTCTTCTCTCCTCTCTCTCCCCTCTCTCTGTCACACACACACGCACACACTCACTCATACTTACATACATAACACATGCATATATGTAAGAGAGAATGCTACCCAGACAAAATGGTGTAGTGCAGTACTTAAGGGTTTTAGGAAGTAGTTAAAGCTTAAGGGAGATCTGGTTTCTAGTCCCCACTCAGCTGTGAAGCCCATTGGGTGAATTTGGGTTAGTCACTGCTTCTCAGCTAAACTTAAATTACACAGGTGTTGTTGGGAGGACAGAAAGGAGAGGAAGAAGGGTTGGATAAAAATGCATTGTGATAATGGTGATACTTTCTAGGATGGTAGATGGTTGCAAGATTTTGCAGAAATAACTAGTTACTCATATACAAATCTAACTGACTTCTAGACTAAAACTCATGGATTTATGTGCAGTGCACATGATCCCTACATTGAGGATTGGGGATGAGAGCACAGTCTAGTATGTAGAAAGGTAAGGTGCATTTTTTCTCTCCAGTGTGTTGATCAGAAAGATCAGAGGTAGGTATCCTGACATGCTTTTTAATCAAGTGACATCCTTACCTGGGACTTGACTTTTCATAAAGTAGAATAGCTTTTATATCTAGCCTCTGTATATTAATTCGTTTTAAAGGATACTTTTTCATCTTTCAACTGCTATAGGATTTTAGAAGGCAATCCATTCAAGTGTTCCTGTGACATTATGTGGATCAAGGTATTCCAAGAGACCCGGAATCCAAAACCTGAACCTCAGGATATTTACTGTATGAATGACTTCAACCAGAGGATTTCTCTGATGGACACGCCTGTCCCAAACTGTGGTAATGCATTTTCATATAGAATAATTGTTGTGTGTATTCAAAGTTGCTGAAAGTTTTGGAGCACAAACCACTAAGCACAATCCCTGTTGAAGCCTTATTAAATTTTATAGGATCTATTATAGAAGAATTCTAGATGGATTACACACTTAATAAAAAACAAGATTCTAGTTTTATTCATGAGTGACATAAATCATATTTCAGGATAGTGAGTGTTAAAAATGTCATGTGTGCAGTCTACTTAAGTTTGATTGAAGTCAATAGAATTTAAGTAGTTTCATTGGGTGCAGAATTTCTACCCAAAACAATTCTATGACTTTTACAGCTTTCTGGATTCATATTTGAGATTCCTTTTTTATAATAGCTTTCAATTTATTTTATTAAATAATAATTATGTATTGTCTGGTGGAGAGTGGATATTACTTGATAAGTTGGTTCAGCTTTCCTTTTTCTTCTCTCTTCTGAGAATAATGACAACTGTTCATTTATGTTACTCTATGACTAGGTTTCATTTAACTGTGACAAATCTTGTGTTAATCCATGATATTCTGTGGCATGTTCCAGGAGTGTTCTCCTCCCATTCTGAATGGTCATTTCCCAGTTGGGAGATGATGTGTGAGAGCCAAGTCCAAATGCTTAGGTTAGTAGTTAAGTTATCTGTGATTTCTTTAACCCATGATTGACCTTTAGGGTCTGGGTTCAGATGTCATGCAGTAAGCCCTGATCATCCCTGTTGGGGGATGAATTTTCAAATATCTATGGACACACCCACCATGTAAAACAGCAAAATGTGCATTAATTAATCCATGATTTGCTGTTACATGTGAACAGCCCCTATAAGTGAATATCTAGTTGCCAACTGAAACAGATAATTTAGGTTGAATGAATTATGGCATTGGCCCCATCCTTACTCTTTTAGATTAAATAAAATTATAAAAATTTTAAATGAGATATCATTCCACTTTTGACAAGTAAATAAGTTGCACTTGATAGTAACAATAAAAAAATGATTTGTCTGAACCAATAAATCAGTACTTATAAGACCTCATTCCTGAGTTTTCACAAGTTTCTGTTGAACTTGAGAGGCAGTTTTTACCATTTCTCCCTCTCGCTTGCTACCTTATGAGATTTCTCCTGAAAATTTGCTCTGGGGGCATTAGGCAGTGCTCCCTGTGTGTGGCAGGGTAGAATGGGTGGATCAGAAAAAACAGCTTTCCCTGGCTTTCACTATCAGGAACTTCAGTCACATCATAAGCCTTTCCATTTGTAGAAAGAATACTTAGGGTTCAAGCCTATGGATTTACTTGCATTGCTTATATAACAATAACTACCATGTATGAACAAAGAAATGGTAGTCTTCTGGGGTTTCTTAAATGGTACTTCTGGTTCCTGCCAGGCTCCAGAGCCCCTCCTGATTTTTATGTTATGGTTTTTGTTTTTTTAGATACTTTGATTTAAAATGTTTTTCAGCTAGGAGTCGGGCTTACTACAAAATGAAGTTCTAGCTTTTCCAAGAATGCTTCTGAGGTGGCAACTTCAACCCAACATGCCCAGACACTCAGAAAAGAGAAAAAGGTGGTGGTGGGGGGTGCAGTTAGGAAGTTTCCTTAGAGCTGAGTGGTGAAATGTAGCAAGAGATGCTTTCGCTGTGCTTTTTTTGTATTTGTGTGGTGTGTATTTTACCAGTGTTTTGAGTATAATAGATCTCTGCTGTGTGTGCTTTCAGTAATTTATTTCTTACCATTTTATATTTGTGGCTTTTTCTTTGTAAGTGCTGCAGCAGCAACACTTGTTGCAAAAATGCAAAATATTTAGCGGGGAAATTTTCTACTGTCAATGGACATGTCTGTGGTCTTTTTTGTATAGAGACAAGCATGTGGTTGGGTGGGGTGTTAATTGCCAAAAGATCAACAAATTGGCCTGCTGCAATTGATCTATGTGATTCAGGGTACATATTAAGCATTTAAGCATCTCTCTAACCAGCATTTAAGCTCAGTGTTTCTAATTTTTGTGCCAGAAAGAAAAACTTTAAAAGCAGGAATAAAGAACTAATTGCTTTAACTGAAAAGCATGAGCATTTAAGCTGCCATCATATGCATACTTACCTGGGAAGAAGTCCCATCCAGCTGTGTGAGATTTACTTTCAAGTAGATCTACTTAGGATTGCTCTGCCAAGTAGTGCAGAGAGCAAAAAGGTTGGCAGGCTTGGACAAGCATTCCCACGGACTACTGACTGCACTGGAGACACTGACTCAGAATCAGAAAGTGAGGAATATTTCAGTGAGATTGTGGAGCATAGGTTAGCTCAAAGTTGTTGTTGTTGTTGTTATTATTATTATTATTATAACATTTCTGGGATGCAGAAGTTCTGGGATGCAAAGTTCTGGGATGCAGCAGTGATTCTCTCAAGGCCAGATGCTTTACTGTGCCAGGTAATTCCTGGGAATAGCGAAGATGTACAGACAGCAGGAGGAACCTTGAGGGATGAGGAATTCTAAGACCAGGCTACTTGCACTTTTCCCTGTGGCAAGGTGTCAGCAGAGGTGAGAGACCAAACTGAATGTGTAGTGTGTGGAGAGAAAGCATGCTTGCCTTCAGAGAGCCCTTTCTGAAAGGTTGGGCTCCAGGTATGTTCATAAGGAGAGTTCCTGAAGTTCAGCAGATTGCTCTGTGCATGCTCAGAGATCCATTCTGGGCGAGTTGTACTTGGAAGCAATAAAGAACATCTCGCAAGGAAAATGGCCTGTGGCTGGTAATTGCCCGAAGGGGGATTCTCAGTTCTTGGGAAATTGTTCTTTATAAGTTCAAAAATAACTATGTGGTCACCAGTTTTTCTTCCTGTCCTGTGGAAATGGACAACTTTTGACCTGGTTTTCTTCTTAGAGTGTTCATCCCAAGAGATATAAAACCCCCTATTCTTTGATGTATTAGGACTTGGCTTGGCTTTTTAAAAGCAACATTGCTGTAACATAGAGGAAAAAACCTCCAGTATTTTATTTAACCCAATAATTAAATTTCTCATCATTGCTTCATTCTGGAGTCCTGTGAACTTGTGAGAGGCTAAGCAGATAGGACGTTTAAAAAAGAGAGAATTAAGGATGTTGGAAGTCAAAGTACTTTGTTCATTTATTTTTACACATGTTTTGCATTTTGTATGGTAATAATTTCCTGCATACAGTATAAGTTCAGCATCGTGTAAAAGACAGTGTGAATGTTGGAAATGCAAGGCCTTGCAGTAGTTGGCTGCTAATAAATTACTTGCTGGGAAATGGAGTGAGACTGTTGTGGTTTTTGGTTAAGGTTATTCATGTTAGCAGCTCAGTCAAGCAAGAAATAAGGATGCTTGCTGGTACTATCCTCTTTTCATGGTTGAAATGGTCAATGACTTGCTTTTGAAATTTAGTTGTTGACGTTGAAATGTACGGTTCAGTATTTATAAGGACAGTATAAAGTATTAGCAAACATAACTAACAAGTGTGGTACACATTTGAGATATTTGTGTCCTAATGACAAAGTATATGTATTCCCTGATTTTCTTTTTCACCTGGCTATATACATATGATCTCTATGAAAGACCTATGAACTGGACAGTTGTGTTACAAATCTTTATTTTAATATTTGTAGGAAAATTACCACTTTGGAGCACATTTCTAAGCAGTACATACATAAACTAACCTCATTTGATGAATCATCATTCAGAACATAAAGCTAGTGATTTTGGTGGGCAGCTTTTTAGCTAATGAAAAAATGTTCATGATAGACACAGGAAAAAGTTAGGGTTCACATGATTGGGAAAGGAAAAGAACTGCACAGGTTAAATCTGGTTCTTTTTTCAGTCTGTAAAAAATTATGCATGTAAAAAAAATTGGTCTTGAAATTTTACAAATTGGAATTCGACCAAATTGCATTTAATTTTTTTTCACTAGAGCAGTGCTTTGCAACCACTGGTTCACAGACTGGTGCCAGTTTGCCAGGGGCTTCCTACCAGTTGGGGGGCACTTGCCACTCACCGCAGATGGCATGGGGGCTGGCTGTGCTCCAGCACCTCTTCCTCAGTTGGCATCACATTCATGGCGGGGGACAGGGTGTGCTGGTGCCACTGGGAAGGCCAGGGAGGGGAGAGACAGCTTTTTGTTTCTGCCTCAGCAGTCTTGAAGGTGGTTTTCCTGTTTTTGCTGATCCCCATCTGTGGAAAGGTTGAAAACCGCTGCACTAGAGGATCTTGCTATGAGAGAGTGGCCTGCTGGCCACCCCCTTTCACAAGCAAAGATCTGTTCATGGGTTTGACAGTTTGTCTTTTGAGAACTGTCAGGGAAAGCAAAGCTACAATTTAACCTATTGTTTTCTCGGTGTTCCTGTGCTTTGACAGGAGATCACTGCCCAGGATACTGATGGAGCAAGACTTTCCATTTTGAACCCCCATAAGTATGTAGATGTATGCTTATGAAAGTTCTTCTTTTAAGAAAATCAGTTTGCACAAATTCTAGACAAGAACACAGAACATCTGTTTAAACATTGGCTCTTTCATATTATCAGTTGGGTGATGTGTTATGCTGAAAGGTATTTTTGAAGTGATTCATAAAGAAGTTCTGGGAAAGCTATATTTATTGCAGTCTCTACCAATACTTAGAGTCTGATTCGGGTCTAATTTGTGTGGCTGAATATTTCAAAGCTGTATGCAAAGATAAAGGGATTTAATATAGCAATAAACTTTTGGTGGGCTTCTGGTTGTATTAATAGAATGGATGCAAGGCTGCCCAAAAATTCTACCAGGATGATTGGTGGGTTTGAGGATCATTTTGGTGGTGCAGTTCTTCTCCCAAAGTTTGAGAGACGTTGGTGTTGTTTGGGTGAGACGAAGGAAAAAAAAAGGCATTAAGCTGCTACATGTTAAAAAATATTTTTAAAGAAGGTTTCTGGTGAACATTTCTGTGTAGCGTGGTTCTGAGCAGTGTTGTATGAGGAAAAGATGTTTATTACCAGGCTGTAGCAGGCTATTTGAA